CCTTCCATCCATCCTTCCTCCATCCATCCATCCATCCATCCATCCATCCATCCATCCATCCATCCATCCATCCATCCATCACAGCAGAGTCAAACTTAACTTTACATAAAGAAAGTGTCATGAGTGACTAGTTATACAAAAGGTACTGGTTCCAAACTGTCATAACCCACCTTGTCGAATTTCTATGTAATCATTCTGGCAATTAATATGTTGTTCCAAATGGAAGTCTTCTAAAGAAAGATAAATAGTTGTGATGGATGGCTGTGGATTTTGGATGATCCATTCACAGTTCAGGTTATCAATATAATTGCTAGTGCCATCATAACCAGGAGAAGTGAGGTTACCATTCTCTGAACTAAGCAACAGTCCACCGCACACTAAAGAAACAAAATTTGGAGAATAAAGGAATTGTTGTCAGACATATGCAATTACAATATGAATTCAAGGAAACACCAAAAAGTACTATCGTGTATACAACACTTTTCTTTGTTAGTAGTAGACACTAGTCTACTATTGCAAGTTAAGCCAGCAATTTTGATACCAACAATACCGTAAATCTCCATAAACCCCCAGTTAAATTGTTGGAAAAACAATGTGACAAAATACTTTCCACTTATTTCTAAAATGGCCAGATTATTTGATGGTGCCATTGCCCAATCTAAGAAGAAAATGTATTTTAATTCTGACAGGATTTTCCCTTATTTTTAAGATTGAAGAAAATGACTTGAAGCATTTATTTATGTAATTAATGAATGAATGGTGAAAGAAAGACTCCAGTTTCTCTTCAGATTATTTAATTTTTTCACTCAGCTTGAAGCATGTTACATTAGAATCTCTATAACTAGGTTAGTTTCAGACATACATGCCTGGAGAAGATCATGTGGTGTCCATGGGATGTCAAAACCCCCGCAAGATAATAGCTACAATCACACAAGGCTCCATCCCTTTTTATGTGCATTAGACATGCAACACACAAAAAAGGGGCAGAGTTTTAGTTGTATGGCCATGGCACCATCTTGACTTGTTTTTACTTCTCCTGCAGAGGGACCTGATTTCACCTCTTCTCTCTTCCCCAGGTTGTTGGTTCTTTCCACCAGCAAATTACCTCCCACTGAAACCAATGAGAAGAAATTGGTCAGCAGTCTATATCCATGGCTGATATAAATGATGCATCTGCAATGTATTGTAGGGGTGCTGTTCGGATTTTGGATTAATAGAAGTGCAGCTTCTCTGGTCATAACCCTTGGCCCTTCAACAACACCCTTTGGGCTTTTCTGATGGCATATCCAATGTTGGAAAGAACAATTCTCTAGAGTTTTAAGATGGTGGCAGGAGGGACATTTCCAACATCAGTCCTGATTAAGAGTTCTCCTTTAGAAGGTTCTAAAAAATGGCCACAGTCGGTAGAACATCTTTTCAGACATTAATCTCATTTATATGTGTATTTGCTTTAATAATGTCTAAACTGTGTCTTCTTCCAGGCTTCTCTCTCAAGGCAATACTCATAACATTTTCCAAGAATGTAATAATAATACAAGAAATAATAATAAAAAGTACTATATTAATATTAATACTTAATTTAATTATACTAAATTTGAGAAATGTGTATTTATTAATAGTATTTATATAGATTAACCAAATTCTAAA